TTTAAAATTAATCAAAATTTGTATAAAAGGGCCGATTCCCCAATATCGATATTGACCAAATTCTGGCACATCACGTGATTGAGATTGGAACACCCATATAAGTCCTGTATTTAGGAAATAAATCATAAAGAAATTCCATAGCTCATCTATTGGTTTAGCTAAAGTTCGTAATGCTTTAAATTCTTCGGAGAATCGTATTCGATTGCCTAAATGAATCAATGACGAAAAATTTGTCAGATTACGTAAATAAACTCATTAGCCAATATTCTATCAAGTAGTAATTACTTGACGAATACAATTCAGATAACATTGAATCCAACGATGAATAATCAAATATTAACAGTAATTTGCTATACATACAAAAGCGATCTGTATTAAAGTTAAAATTTTCTTCTGTCGGCAAATCCTTAAGTTCTCTTGAGATTTCTTCCACTGTTGGACGCTTATCCGGATCATCATCCCAACATTTTTGATAAAGTTGAAAGTATGGATATGGTGTGCCTTTAACAGGTATTTCCCTGTTTCCACCTAGTATGTGAATAGGAATGCCAATATTATCAAGTGAATGGAACGGTGGCCGACCACTTGAAATTTCCCAAAGAATTACTCCAAAGCTATAGATGTCGGATTTTTTGTTACGTTTGTATGATGTGTCTATAAAACATTGAGGGTCAATGTATGCCACCATCCCGTAAAGTTTAGAAGCTGAGGTTATTGATGACTCGTTTTTCGATAAGCCAAAATCTGAAATTAGCATTTTTCCGTCGTGAACTAGAATATTTTTGGAGTGCTGGAATTAATGAATTATTTGTTAATAAAACCTTTAAAACTGATTATGACTATCCGAATAACATATGATTCTTTAATCGAATTATTATATAAATTTTTTTGTTAACAGAATCAAATAAACTAATACTTACGAGATCTCGATGAATAATACCATTTCTATGTAAAAATTCAAGCCCATTAGAAATTTCACGGGCAATTTGCAATTTGTCAGTCCATTCAAACTTTGAAACATTGTTTTTCAAATATTCACGTAAATCTCCATTATTTGCAAATTGTAAGATCATATTATAGAACTCATTTGAATGATCTATGAATATAATTTTTAAATTACTAATTTATATATTATTGTAATAGGTCACATTTTCTACTAACCTTGAGTGATTCCGTAAAATTCAATAATGTTTGGATGATTACGATTGCAAACCTTTGTTAAATTCTTAAGCTAAACAGTGTATAATGATACGCATTAATTATTATTCTAACAAATTTATTGCAAAAATGATTTGGTCTCTTACCTCTTTAACAAATTTTTGAATATTCTTATCATCCAAAGAAATAATGTTTAATTTTTTAAGAGCAATAGTCACTCCGAGGCTTTTCCAGTTTGATTTATATACAGTTCCAAATCCGCCTTTACCGATTTTTTCAGAATCAGAGAATTCAGCATAGTCATAAAATTTAATGTGTTCTTCACGAATTTCATTTTCGAGCCATTGTTCTAAATGTTCCATTATTCTTTATTTACCGAGTAAATATTAAATATCGGATAACGTCGAATTAAAAAGTAAAATTTTAGAAAGAGTTGAATTAACTGCTGCGGTGTGTATGATTCTTCTAGATACAAAATTACAAATACATATGTGTATGATTCTTCTACGTAGATACAAAATTACAAATACATATACAGCAGTAAAAAAAGACAATAAAATCAGATACGTATAGAATCAACCCCAATTAGTGATGCAGTACGTAGATATTTGACAGTGAATAATTTTTATGCATGATAAGACGCCACAGCCACTGCATAATTTCTTAGAAAATTGTTGAATCGCCTAGCTCTTGCATGCAGCTTTACTGCTATAAAAATTTCTTAAAATATGTAGCAAAGCAATATGGCTGTGGCGATGATTCAGATAATGTGACCGTGCTTTCGGTCGCCCTAGCACAGGTTTTTTTCAATTTTTAGCGTCGAGTGTAACCCGAGTTTATATAAGGAGAGCATCTTCCTGCGTTGCGAATACAAAGTAAAATTTTCAATTAAATTATGTAATTGGAAATTTTGTATTCGCAACGCAGGAAGATGCTCTCCTTATGTAAACTCGGGTTACGCTCGATGTATTCCTGATGCACTAAACGAGGTAGGGCAGCTGTTAAAAATTGAAAAAAACCTGTGCTTCTAGCGCTACATAGCATATTGTGCATATTGAATCCACATGTTATTGCCCACTTGAACAACAATTTGAATATATATTTCATTTTAATAATATTGTGATATCGGCCGTAAAGACCCAACTTTTTTAAAATGTTTCGGCGTATCAAAAGACAAAACTTCTAAAGATTATATTCTTGTTATGGAATATGCTTCAAAAAGCAGCTTGCGTAAAAATCTACAAACTATAGCACAGATGGATTGGAAAGATAAATCTACTATATACAATGTATTGCATCAGATCTTCAGATCATTCATTTTCATGATCTTATTCATCGTAATTTAAATAGTGGAAATATATTGCTAAATAGCTTGAACAGTGCATATATGGCAGATTTAGGACTTTCAATAAAGCTAATATTACATTAAAATCAAATTCTAAAAAAACGATTATATACCAAGGCATCTGATACCTACTCATTTGGCATGGTTATGTTGGAAATTTTATATGGCAAACCTGTGCCCTTTGGTTAAAAAACAAAATTACAATCCAATTTGCAATTTCAATTACAAGTATGTGATGGTTTACGATCAAATATTTATGAAAATACAGCAATTTGTTTTGAAGCCAGAAAAACGGCCAACAGCAACAGAAATTTGTAATATTTTTACAGGATGGCAGAACAATGGCTATATGTTATCAGAATTATCAGAATCTGATAAAAAATTACAAAATATAAAAACGAAGATACACAAAAAGATATTGAATCACGTTATAAAAGTAGCATGATTTTATTTAAGAGTAGTCATAAGTATCAAGGTAATGATAAAATTTTTATAATAAATTATATTTTCTATATTATAATGCTGTTTAATAATATATATATATATTTTACATACAGTAGCCTATATGAATTGGAAATACTGGAATGATTGATTAATAAAAGCAACCCTTCAAATTTTAAGCTTTTGTCTTTTATTAGAAAGATTGGTGTTCCGTCAGAGTTTCGTTTTTCGGTTTTTTTGTCACCGCTCGAAAAGGTTTCGCCTAGAAACTACAGTTCAAAATATTTATTACAGTAATACGAGAGTTTGAGGGTTTTCTTTATTTAGTACCAATATACATCTCTATATTAAAAAGCATAGAAAAAATAATATTGAATAGCAATGAAACGCTAAATTGAATTCTTTGTAGATAAATTTCTTGCAGTATTACATCTTTATAGTTCTATTATTCTATTATTTTAATTTTCTTAAGACTCCGAACTGTAAATTTTTTAGTTTATAAAGATCCGTGCTTTATAGATGCATATTTGTTCACGGAATACTTATACATGTTGGCAAAACTATTGGGATTTTGGACGAATTTTACTATGTTTGGGATTTGGGATTGGGACTGGGACGAATTTTACTATGTTTGAGATTGGGATTTGGGTGGGATTTTGAGACTTTATAGTTTTGCCAACATGTATAGGAATACTGTAATTTATATTGTTTTCGAATAATAGCGATATTCGGATAATGATAAGATTAATTCTAGGGGAATTTACGAATAAGGGCCCGGAAAGTAAAAATAATTACAAATACGGGCCCAAATTAAAAATAATTACATTTAAGGGCCTAATTTTTAAAAAATATTACATATAAGG